GGGGGGGGGGGGGGGGGGGGGGGGGGGGGGGGGAGAGAGAGAGACAGAGAGGGGATCGGAACAGACTTGGCAAAAAGTGAGTCACGCACACGCGAACGCGAATAATTCGCGCTGGAAAATCGCGCGAGCCATCTCCGGGAGCCGGCGGGGAAAAGATCGACTCCTCCCAGCTCCTCCTCGCCCCTCTCCCTCCTCCATCCTCATCTCTAATTTTCGCCACAATGTTCATCCCAGTCTTTTCCGCCAAAACCGACCCCGCCCTAGTGTCCGCCCTCGAGCTGCTGGGCTCCCGTGTCTGGCGACCTGACCCAGCCAACCTCGACGACGAAGCCCTCCTCGCCTCAACCATCTCCCCGTCCTCATGCTCCGTCCTTCTCCCTCCCTCTGCCCCGGACTCGACCCCAGAGTCCCTCGGCGGCCTCGTCCCGCTCCTCGACGCCGGCGCCCAAACCCTCATCCTCTCCCTCCCCCTCCAAGCTGCGGAATCCCTGCGCCTCTCTGCCCTCCCCGCCTCCCGCCTGCTCTTGGCCCTGCCACAGCTCCCGCCTTCGGAAGCCTTCACGCCGGAAGCCCTGCTCGCCAGCCTTCTACCCGTCATCTCCGCTTATAACCCCCTCGTTTCGGGGTACACCGTTACCTTCCCCGCGTCGTTCGACCTGGATTCACCCGTGCGCTCTGCCGTCCTTACCGCTCTGTTGCAGGCCGTTCGTGGCCCCGGCGGCTCCACCCGCACCCTCTCACTCGCCCTCCCCTCTGATTCCGCCCTCCCTTCCACGGATCTCGTAGCGGCGCTTGACAGTCTCGGAATTGACGTGCTCGCCCCCGTTGGCGCGTCCACCCCGCTCGCAACCATCACCGCGCAGTGGACCGCCCCGCTCGTCTCCGACAGGCCCGACGGCCTCTTTCCCACGGTGGTCACGGACCCGCACGGCGTTGCACTGGGCCTCTGCTACTCGTCGCGCGAAAGCATCGCCGAGGCGGTTGCGTCTGCTTCGGGCGTCTACATGTCGAGAAAGAGGGGACTGTGGAGGAAGGGTGCTACTTCTGGGCACTCGCAGAAGCTCCTGAGCGTGAGAGTCGATTGCGATCGGGATGCGTTGCGGTTTGTGGTTGAACAGTCTGGAAAGGGTAAGACGGCTCTTGTGCTCGAAGAGGTTGGGGTGTCACGGGAGGTCGGGGGATGGGGGGCGGGGGAGCCGGACTATCTTGTTAGGAAGCTCGGGGTATTGCGAACTTGGTGTGCTCAACCTGTTTTTGAAAGGTTTCTGCCACTTAGACACCCAGACGTGCTTTGGCGGTGGCTCCGGCATCACTGCGCTCGATACTCTCCTGCGAAGCCGTAAGGAGTCTGCTCCTACCGGATCGTACACGCGCCGCCTTTTCGAGGACCCAACTCTGCTCCGCTCCAAGATCATGGAGGAAGCCGAAGAGCTCTGTGAGGCTTTGACCCCTAACGACGTTGCCTGGGAAACGGCCGACCTCTTCTACTTCGCCCTGGCGAAGTGCGCATCGGTCGGCGTCTCGCTGGCTGATGTCGAAAAGCACCTCGACCGCCGGAACTCCAAGGTCACTCGCCGCCCTGGCAACGCGAAGCCAAAGTGGGACTTCTCCGAGAAAACGGCTCCCGCCGCTGCCGCGACCCCCACCCCCACTCCGACTCCGGCCCCCGTATCGGCATCGGTTCCTATCACCCCCGACTCAATCAAGATGAAAGTACACACCCTGACCGCGCTTTCAACCGAATCCCAAGCCGCGCTCCTCCGCCGCCCCATAATTAAAACCGACGAAATTCTCGCCCGCGTCCGCCCCATTATGCACGAGGTCCGCACCCGAGGCGACGCTGCCCTAATCGAGCTAACCGCAAAGTTCGACCGCGTAACCCTCACCTCCACCGTCATCCGCGCCCCGTTCTCGGCCGCCTCCATGGCCCTCCCCAATAACGTCCGCAACGCAATTGACCAGGCCTACGCCAATATTTCCAAGTTCCACGAGGCGCAGCTGGACACGACCGTGCTCACCGTCGAGACGATGCCGGGCGTGAGCTGTTCGCGGTTCGTGCGCCCGATCGAGCGCGTCGGGCTCTACGTCCCGGGCGGAACTGCCGTGCTCCCCTCGACAGCTCTCATGCTCGGCGTCCCCGCAAAGGTCGCTGGCTGCTCGGAGATCGTCATCGCGACCCCGCCGAGACCGGATGGGTCCGTCGTCCCAGAGGTCATGTATGTGGCTAACAAGATCGGCGCGACGGCGGTTTTGGTTGCTGGCGGCGCGCAGGCGGTTGCCGCTATGGCGTATGGGACTGAAACGTGCCCGAAGGTCGACAAGATTTGCGGGCCGGGGAACCAGTATGTTACTGCTGCGAAAATGGTCGCTCAGGTACGAGGCTCGACGTTTTTGGCGATCGGAAAGGGGGAGCGACCGAGGCGTGGTGGAGTGTTGGGATAAGTCTGTATAGCGGATGACTATATCATCGGCCTGGCAGCGTCGTTGCGAGTCCTCACGCTGATTCACCTCCCTATCTCCTTCATGATAAAATCAGGCCGATAGCTCCGCAATGATTGCGATCGACATGCCCGCAGGCCCCTCAGAACTCCTGGTACGATTTATCCCCCCCCCCCACCCACCCACCCACCCACCTTAAATCACCTCACCAAGATCACTAACCCCGCGAACACACCCACCATCCAGGTCATTGCCGACCAAAACTCCAACCCCGCCTACGTCGCCTCCGACCTCCTAAGCCAAGCCGAGCACGGCGCCGACAGCCAAGTAGTCCTTCTCGCGGTCGCCATAACCCCCGACCACCTCTCCGAGATCGAGCGCGAGGTCGCCGTTCAAGGCGCAGCCCTCCCGCGCGCCGAGATCGTCGCCCAGTCCATTCGAAAGAGCTACGCGCTCCGCGTCGACTCGATGGAGGAGGCGATGCGCTTTTCGAACCTGTACGCACCTGAGCACCTTATTTTGCACATCGACGAGGCGGAGCGGGTTATTCCGGATGTGCAGAATGCGGGGTCAGTGTTTGTGGGGGCTTGGTCGCCTGAGAGGTATGAATTTGGGATTTATGACCCGTATGCGAGAAGGCCGGTCTCGAAAATATTATCCTCCTCGCTGACTACACACACATCTCTCTCCCATACGGCACAGCTGCGGCGACTACGCATCGGGCACGAACCACACCCTCCCGACCTACGGGTACGCGCGGATGTACTCTGGTGTAAACACGCACACATTCGTGAAGCACATTACGGCGCAGACGCTCACCCGCGAAGGGCTGAACGCCCTCGGCGATACTGTGACGACGCTCGCTGCCGTCGAGGGCCTCGAGGCTCACCGCAATGCTGTCGCCATCCGCTTGAGGGATATCCGTGGGACCGAATGAGCCTTGTATCTTGTCCCTGGGGTTTCTTTTAGCAATAATATGTATTCTGTTGCAACTTTGTTCTGGATTGAAATGTTATGTAAGATAGATTTCGTCTGTTCCCTTCCGACCCGCACCCACCCACCCACCCACGTACAAAACAATATTCCTTTCCACGGCTTGCCAGTCGATTTTCCTTTTTGGTCTGTCCCCGGCCCCAACAAGCTTCATCTGATCGCTCCCGCTCCTTCGGCCTAATGCGACTGGGAGACAGATAGATGAACGAAAGTATCTGGGCGCTGAGATCCTGCGTCTAGAACGCATAATTCAAGCATGGTTGGTTTAGTGGCATAATTACCGCCTGCCGACCATTGTCCGCGGCAGAGCCGGATTCGATTTCCGGACCATGCATTGGGTGGTCCAGTGCCCTGAATCACGTTTTGATTATGAATTTTTTGCGTCTTCCACCCACCTCCCTTCCGCCCCTCCCGCCCTGGGACGAGCCGGCCAACCGCCCAATCCGATCAGATAGGGGCGACAGGAGACGCCGCCCTGCAGCCGTTCCAACCATGAACAGATTTTTCCCTGCAGCCGATTCATCAGTTTTAATCTACCATTGAACTCCGAAGCCGACGGCAAGGTAACGAACACCCAACCAGGACCAACCTCCCCATCTTACGCCAACGCGTTTCGCTCTCGTTTGCGCTCGGCAGGTGCTCGTTTCTCTCGACTGATCACTGCAGAGGCGCCGCCGAGCCGTCGCGGTCCATCCGCAAATCGTCAATAAAACTGCACAAGGCTCGCAGCTGGGAACTCGCAGCTGAGGACTGGATGAGAGAGAGAAAAGGAGCTTCAGGCTATTGAAGGCGAGGAGGATTTTCGTTTTTGCCCGCGGTCCCCAGCCCCAACAAGCTTTATCGCGACATTTGGTCACTCCTGAGTGTTGTCCTTCGTCTCTTTACAACAGCCATCCATATCACAGAAACAAGCAAACAAGATTTGGTATTTCACAGCAATTCCTCAACCTACAAGCGCCCACCCCCACGTCCCGCCCACCCTTCAGCATCAGAATATCACTCCTCAAACCTTCCCTCAACATCCAACGTCAAGCACCGACTAGACCCCTCCTCGAGATCACGATAAACGCCAACAAGGCCATGCGCCTTTTCGTAGAACGCGGCCTTGAGGCTGATAACGATGAACTGGGTCCCGTCGGCGGCGTGGCCGCGGACGTAGGCGGCGAGCTTAGCGACGTTGACGGCATCGAGGGCGGCGTCGACCTCGTCGAGGACGAAGAAGGGCGCGGGCTTGAACGAGTGGATCGCGAACAGCAGCGCGAGAGCCGCGATGGTCTTCTCGCCTCCGGAGAGGGTGTCCATGCTGCGGTACGTCTTGGTTGGCGGGATCGCGCTGTACGAGATGTCGTCGAGGTAGGGCTCCTGGGGAAGTTGGGGGCGGGAGGGTCAGAAAAGAAGAGCCCGCGTCCTGCACCGCTACCGACTCCTCTTCG